ATTAGCCTAGAATCTGGTTTTAAATTCCACGCTTCATGCAACTCACGATCATTATATGGACTATGCATATGTAGAATGGAACCCAATCACTTGCGTCAATATTGCAAGATCTAAAGTATAAGTAATTTATAGGAGGATGCAAGTGTTGGGGGACAATGAATCTCCTCCAAGCTCCAATGCAGCGACTTTGTGTGTCATCCACAATCGCTTCACTGTTCAGCAAACATAGGAACGGAATAGGATATCCAACAAACCATTTACCTACCAGTGCTTAATCATCCTTACAATATAGGGTGATTACATCTCAAAACATAAGGTTTCTTATTAAGGTAACAAAATTAGGCTACGGGGAGCAGGTAGGATGGAAGCCGGAAAACTTTCTTGTCTCCATGTTAAGTGAATTATTGGGAAAAATGTTGTCGTTCTGACGGGCAAGGATTCATTGAGGTCGCATAACGGTGGTTCTGGGACTCTCTTGCACAAATTTAGCTGCAGTTATAAGGCAATTCCCCTTCGGTTTCCGGTGAATCCAACTTGTGAATCTCTTCTATTCGCCTCTTCAAACTAACTGAAAAAAGCTCCAACCTCAATCTATCGAGGGATTCTTCGAAACTAGTTTCTACATAATTTCGAGGAAGGTCTGTGGGCCATAAATGTATAGGTCACATTAATCGAGTACATTTCAGTTCATATATGTGTGAAAATTTTGCCCCTAATTATGTTATGTTAGCTTATTGTAATGAAATCATGTACCACTATAAATTTATTGTTTATAGTACCTTTCATACTACTTTATTTCGTTCAAATTAATCCCATAGTTAAGATTGGATTATTTAATATTAGCACTTATGTATTTTTAACGCAATTTCTCACATTTTGGATTAGTATCTTGAAATTGTGTCACCATAATCCGTTTTTTCTAATTGAGTCGGTAATCCCTCACTAGTGACGCAGGCCAGTCTCTGTTTACCGATTTTTTTATCTTTTTAGAGCTACCCTCAAGATGTCCTCCTTCCACCACCCGTGAATAAAGCTGCTGTTGAGGCCCACTTTATGTCAATGATCAAAGAGGCAGACGCTCTAAAGCATCGTAGTCTTGTTGCAAATCATATGCAGGCACGAGATCACCGCCAGTTATGGGCCGGCCTACTTAGTCATCGCTTTGATCAATTCTGGGCAGTCAACCGGCGTTTCATGGAGGTCATCACATCCGGGAACATCACCTCTATATCGTTTCCTGCTTCAACAGGAGGTAATTCGTGCGCAATTCACATTTGAACCATATTGCTTGCTTGATATCTATTTATGCTACCTTCAATATGATATTGAAATTTGATTAGTGAAATTAATCTAAAGTCAAAAAGCGCAGACAAACTACTCTCGAAAATTAAATAAAATGGTTTATCTTTCGTTTATGAGTAGTTTTTTTGAGACTTTCCG